AAATCGATCAATAAACTTAGAATGATATTAAGTAAGAGAAGTTAAATAACTCTAAGCTATCACTTTCATTTTGTCTTAATCAGCACATCAGTCAATTACATGCCCTGTAATAAATGATGAAGCTATTAATCTCTAATAAGTGAAATGTATATAGTATGTTAATATTATTATGGTGTACAACAACAATGAAAAGCTCAATGTAAACAGTTTTACATAGTTACTCAAAACGATTTCTAGAAAACAGAAAGTTTTTTCACTAATGAAACTTATTTCTTTATTTAGTGGCTTTTGTTGTGAAAGATATTATCTAGCACTGAAAAATGTGGTGAGAATATAATTTATGGACGATCTTTGAGCGACCTTGAGAGTGTTTACCGACTTACTAGGGCTAAATGAGGGTTATAAAGCAATTTCGATAGTTGAGATCATGAGTCAACCGAAGCTAGATCATCATGGGAAACCTGAAGCACTGGGAGGCCGTTTCGTCCTATTGTGAGACTCCTCAGCAGTGCGCATACACGACCCTGCCTGGCGGGATTCAAACCCGGGACTTATTAGTCTCGCGCGCGAGCTCTTAGCTACTAGACCACTGAACCGGAGTTTTGAAGAACAAGGATTATGGTTCACAATTGATGGTTAGGGTTAGGAAATAGATTTACGGTCTTTCAACACTAAATGACATAAGCTAAAATGCCAAGATGTTATCTTGACAAATGAGTGATTGAATCTCGCGCCGAAATCCAAGATCTGTAATCCTAGATCTGATTGGTTTATCTATAAATTTCGTAGTATAACAACAGTGAAAAGTTTTAGGTTGTTTAATGATCGGTTTCCTTTGTTTCTGAATAATTTTAAAAGTGATCACTTATAAATAATGTCGAACTGTATCAATAATGATTTCTGATAAAATAACGAAACGATCCAATTTAGTTAACCATTGAAAACCTAGTTAGAATAATTATCTGTTTTGTCTTAGTATGAGACTCTTCATTAGTGTGTATCCACGACACAGTTATCACATTTCTTATGAATATCTGAAATAATACATAAAATAATTCAGGTAAATACTTTTGAAAAGTATACTTAAAGTAGTATGAACAAATATCTCTATAGATAGCTGAACTATTTTTACCATAATCAATATAACTTATTATCAACAGAATTCATATATGAATAGAATAATAATAAAATCATACACATCAAGCAAACTTATCAAGTTAATTTATATGACAGGATTTTGGTTATTTATACAATAATATGCATTAGTATTGTAATGTTATATATATATATATATGCGTCAAAATGTAATCATTTATTGATAATGAGAAATATTTAGTATGTCAACTGTTTTGTTATGTCATCAATCTAAAGTAGATCTAATTCCATCATTTAAATCCTTCATTCATTAACATTTCACTTAGTTCACCTTTACATTTGCAATCATCTCTTTTTTCATACATAAATCATTCATCTAAACTTGTAAACAGATAAATAAATAAATAAATAAATAAATAAAATATCATTTAAATTACGTATTTAATCAATATTTTTCAAGTAATTCTCTTTAACTGATTGAAATCATGAGTCAATTGAATCTAGACCACCATGGAAAACCTGAAGGCACTGGACGGCCGTCTCGTCCTAGTATGGGACTCCTTAGCAGTGCGCACCCACGATCACGCACCCCGCAGCATTCGAACCCAGGACCTACCAGTCTCGCGCAACTTCGTGGATTGTTTTAAGTTATACATTAACACGATTGGATACTGACCGGCTCAGTGGTCTAGTTGGTTAAGCGCCTGGTGTGAGACTGATAGGTCTCGGGTTCGAATCTCGCGGGGTGCGAGATCGTGGGTGTGCACTGCTGAAGAGTCCCACACTAGGACGAGACGCCCGTCCAGTGCTTCCAGGTTTTCCACGGTAGTCTAGATTCAATTGACTCATGATTTCAATCAGTGAAAATTCCTAAAATCCCCACAAAACGCTTTCTGATAATTCTCTTTAAATTAGTCTAGAATGTGGACTAATATTTAGTATAGATTAACGGGGTACTATGGAGTTATTTCGACATAGTTCCAAACTTCTCAGTCATTATGGTCTGTGCTACTGATATCGACAGGTATAAGTAGTATGTATCATCAATCGAAAGTGAAATGGTTGGTGACAGAAGGTTAAAAAGATCGAAGAAAAGAGAGTGAAAACAAAGAATGATTGGTGTAGAAACGAAAAAACAATGAAGTCTGAGACGGTTGACTGATGTTTTCAAAAGGAACAACCAAGTTTGAGACATTTAGTTAATATTAATTAAATATTTACTGTATGGTTCTCAGATTTTACTAACATGTATAATTTTGTGTTCAAATGCATTCGTTTGTCCCCACTTGTGTTCTCGTACACTACAGCAAAACCTTGATGGTGTTTGGAACTAGGGACTTTAGGTTTTGTATTGATCACTTGATCTTTGAATTACTGAAACCCGACTTATTGATCTTCATGTCTAACTCCAATCTATCTACGACACAACGTGGCAATAATTCACTGGGATCGTTGATAACATTCTATCTCCTGACGCTGCTCAGTTCCGTCAGCGATGGTAGGACATTTGGACGAAATGTTTGTATGATATTTATCATAAATAAAAGATCTGTTCAATAGTACTCCAGATAGCTTCAATCCATAATGATTATTACTTAAATTAAATTAAGGCTATCTCTAAATTAGTCAGTATTCATCTATGTGTCCGAACGAAAATGAAATGACATTTTTTTCCTAAACGGAGTATCTTAAATTCGCTGTAACTCTGTTCGTGAGAAATTTCTTTTTATCACAGCCAGTAAAATTCTTTAAAGTATATATAAATCAAACATAAAACTCTTTTTTTTTTCCAGTTCCTTTGTCTTGCAGTATTATACTTTAGGACTTCATCGTCTCATTGATCTTGATTAAGAAAACGCAATAGTCCTATATAGAATTCTTGGATTAATTATTTACTGAGTCTTCATGAATAAAATAACCGATTGTGTCATTGAATAAAAAGAAAGAGAATCCAGGGGATAAAATTTTCTTTACGATGAAATCATTTGCTTGATATCTGTTAAATAGATAATTATCTTTCATAATTTTGACCGGTAAATAACTTTTATCCTTCCATTCTTCCCTTACCTCTTGATTATTACGTAACCTCATTTAATAATAGGAGTTATGAATCAGCTTATGATACAATCTTTTCTATCTTCCTAAAGGCATATATTTATCATACAATTATAAATATGAAGATACAGCTTAAGTAAATGATCTTGTTGAAAAGATAAAGGATAATTAGCTTATATGTTATCTGTATAATTTCCATTTACGATCATAGTTAATTTTTATAACAAGAAGTATGATTAGTATCTTAGTAAAATATTGAAAAGTACATAATTCATTCTCAAGAGAAGTAAAAGTTTTGAGTAGGCTCTTCAGCTTTACTGATCATAAGTGATCATGAAGTTACGACTTAGAAACCAAATGACATACATAATGCAATAAAAATTTATCAGCTTCCGTTAAACTCAATTGACTAGTTACTGAATAAATACAGGTCATTAAAATCAAATTAACTCAAAGTAGTGTATGTGAAGGTATAATTTGACTATTTATTTATCTGTTTACATCCATAATCATAATATCTCAGTTAGGTAGAGTGAGTTTACTAGTAATCGTATGTTTAGATTTATTGTAAACTAAGCATTAAATATGAAGAGTTTAATAATAACGATTTTCGGCGGAAATTATACATAACACTGAAGTAGCTTTCACATAGAAAACTTTAACGAATAGTTGGAATCGACATGAAGTATCGTTTGAATCCTATTGATAGTACTATTTCATATCTAGGATCTAACTTAGGTGCTCTAATTATTATACTGAGCTTTGTGCCGTTCAACTAACCCATTATAGTAGAATCAATTCGATAATATTGTATTATATAGTGTTATTACAGTTCAATGATATCAGTAGATTCACTATTCTGTTCGAAAACAAATTCAATTTGTTTTACCATTACCAAGTATTGAGTACTAGATTACTAACCAATAATGCATTTGTAGGAAATTTGTTTTGATAAAAGTAGATTTCACAATCCATTGATAATTTGTGCATTTACAAATGAAATTATGTATAAACTATTTCAATAAAAGGAATAGGAATTTAGGGAAAAATAAAAGATAGTATTAATGCCTCTGAACTCCATTCAACGACTACGTCACCCATCCTTAGTGTTTCCTTGATTCTAACAGCAAATAACCTTTGACCTGCTCTTGTATATATATTTATAGTTATTATTGATAACCCTTGCCATTCCTATTCTTCACATTCACTTATATTGATTGTTTCATACTATTTCTTACCTCTATGTAAAATTCTAAAATATATTTGGTTATAAGCAGCTGATGAGAAACTACGAAATTCATATTATTCCGCATCAGTATTTGTTATGGCTTTATTTAAATTAATTGCATCTGACATTAGAAGAAAGTTAATTTTCTAAATTGATTTCAGAATAGAGTTCTTTGAATCATTTAGGCAACTAATAATGTGCATTAAAACTATTTGTCGAATGGAGCATGGTACACTTTTTGAAATGTACGAAAATAATTGGTTTGTAATAACCACCATAGAAATGTATTATTTTGGAGTATAGCTGTCTTCTTCACTTTGATAATTTTTTATGTGCAGGGAATAGATTACACTGTACAACCGCAGATAAAAAGTTTAAAATATGAAGTATTGACATATATTACATTTGTTTATATAGACGCTCGCGCACGAGACTGATAGGTCCTGGGTTCGAATCTTGCGAGGCGGAATCGTGTATGCGCAATGATGAGGAGTCCCACCAGGTTTTCCATGGTGGTCTAGCTTCAACTGACTCATGGTTTCAATGACTGAAATTATTATAATGTCCACAAAAACCCTTCTGATATTTATTTATTTATCTGTATAAATATCTATTACTTTAGACGGATACCCCAAAGCCATCACGGTATTTAACACGTACACAAGGTCTTTCAAGTAATAGTGGGAGTGGTATTGTCAGTGTTGGTGTAGGCAGCAGTTGTAGTGTAACTGGTACATCAACTTCATCTTACTCAGGACTTCCACAATATCCACGTAGGTCACCAAATAAAATTGGTTCAAATACAAATTATACAGTTGGTGGAATAGGTACTAGTTCATCATGGAATTCGGTAAGCTATATATTATGACTTTTGATCTTATAAAACTAAGTATTTTCTAATAAAATGAATTTAATTTAAAACTTCTTAATGTGTTGGAAGTTTACTTCATAGTTTGATGTATGAACAATTAAAAATTAGCATCTCGACTGCCTACTAATAAGTAGAAGAATGTTCAGACATTAATCCAGTCAATTATCAAGAAATTACGGAAATGAATAGATTTAAGGAAATAAAACTTTGGCGTTCAGTCTCAAGCTTAATGTGACAATGTGTGACATAATCAACTTTAATGGACGGGATAAATACTGATGTTAACTGACCAATAATAGAAAGTCTGACAAACATAAACTTCACAAACTTTTAAGAACTGACTTTTCGACTCACCATAGATTTCATTTCATCTCAGCTGTGTTCCATCGATAAAACTATTGATTATGTTTTGATTCTTTGATATTTTGAAAACGTAAAACTATCGGGAAACGTTATATTGCGTAGTCGCATGGCTTCTTGTAGTGGTTGACTTGCCAGAGTATATGATTAGCTGAGATTCTCCAATACCGTCATCACCTTGTCGATTTCGCGTGTAAGTGATAGTATCTCAAGCATGGAGGAAAGAAAGTGTCTCTGATATATCGTATCTTACTAGTTACGAATCATTAGGGCAATAACATTGAAATGAACAAAAAGCTAACGAGATGGACCTACTTAAAAACAAAACGCTAGAAACCTTGGGAAATAACTAAGGTGGTAAAGAATTACGGCTTTATATCTGAATTAGTGGAGTACTGTATGCAATAACAGATAATTGCGTTTAGCGTTATTTCACTTCTTACCTTAATGACATATATATATATACGAACAAGAAAGTGGAGATTTATTTGTTGATGACTAGTGTTAGCAAGGAGCTGTTTAAAGTATACTTTCTTCAGTATGCAACTGTTTATCTCTTTCTAACGTCTACCCTTCCTCAATAGATGGAATTATTCGCAGTTTAATGCTTTTAGTATTTCAACGAAGGTTTATTCGTTGTTTCATTGTGTTTGCTCTGATAGGATTTGAGTAGTGCCGCAAGTAAAACACCTAATTACAAACAGTTATACGAAGAAGAAAAACTGCTAACAAATGGTTTACGTGAAGAGGTGAAAGCAGCCCAGAAAGAACTAAAAGAATTAGAAGACGCCTTGGAAAATTCAGTTGGTAGACGAAGACCTAGTGAGGTTGAACAAAGGGTAATGAAACTATTTGAAGTTTAGAAATTTTCTTTTAGAAGATATGATGCTAAGAATCTAAAAGGATTGGCAAGGTGGTTTGGTCAAGTTTAAGTATTTTTAACAATTGTAAAATTATGACTACTTTCTTGAAATGAATTGCAAGCTGTGTTGTCATATCACTAAGTACTTTCTGTCATTACTCAGTTTGACTTAAAATTGATTATCATTAGCTGTTATGTGAGACAGTATTTCTTCAACTGGAAACGATCTTAATTCATTTGTATTGTTTGTATATCCTCACAGAACGCGCATATGCCAAGAGAGACTAATCACTTTCACTTCTAAACATCAATAGAAGGATTCAAACAACCAATACAAATTTATTGAACTCTACCCCATTGCAGGAGCCAGTAACTAACTGGACTCAGTGCACAAGTGGATAAAGAGATGGAATTTGAAGCGAACGGCAATTGATTCGAGTCCTGGAGTGAATATGAACTCTAGGATGCAGGCATATCTAGCAGGCAAGTCCCGAATAGGACGAAACGCACGTCCTGTATCTCACTGATAGTCACTATTCATTTCTGTCTATAACGATCTGTTGTTAGATTTATTCTCTTTGGAAGCCTGAAACTGTAAAAAATAACTGTTTTGTTTTCTGTAATTCCTATATACTCTACAATCAGTGTATGCTTTTGAATATGACCATGTGTAGTTAGGTGGTCATCTTCAGTTTATGTCCAATTTTTAAAAATTATCAGTTATCTACTTGTTTACGTATGATAAAGCTTATCTTTAAACGAATGATTTCACCCAAATTAAATGACCTGTTTCGAGTACGTTGTAAATTCATCTAACGATTTCCAAATGAGTTCACAGTAAACTTCAGTTTATAAGCAAGAACAGTATGCATCATTGATACACCACAGTCTCGAAGAAAGTTGCACCACTGTTCATGTTGTTTAAAGGTTACTTAATGCCTCAACTTATCGTATTGGCAACACAGGAAGTTTATTGAGTCGTTCAAAGAGATTTAGGTTTTATGTACTTACAGAAAATCGTATATTATTATCGAGCAATCTTCTTAACGAAAGTTATGTTCCACCACATTAATTGGAGGTAAACAACAAATTTGAAGTCGATAAGTGACTATTTATAAATCCACAAGTTATTTAAGAATAAAAGGATAACTGTAGTCCAACTGGTTTCCGTTTCAGTGTGGACAACAACTCCACTTAAAATATGTTTCTAATTTAAACAGAAAAATATCTTATGAATCTCAAGATGTATTTCTTGTCTTTTTCAGAAATTTAAAATTTAAATAAACTAAGGTCAGAGATTGGTTTGTTCAACTTTCCTAACTCTTTAGTTTCACTTCATTTTTGTGTCATAACTAATTTGTCTATACCTGTAATCAGTTCTAATCTAAAATATAGTTATTAATGTTTTCTAAAGAGCTGTTGTAAAGTGCAAATTTAATGTAGTTTTGATTAGTATCAGAAGGGGTTTTGTAGAGATTCTAGTAATTTCAGTAGTTGAGAGCATGACTTAATTGAAGCTAGACCACCATGGAAAACATGGAAGTTTTGATTGTCTATAGTCTTTAATTATTTTGTTAGATAAGCATCCTTTCTCACAAAAATGAACTTAAAACACAGTAACATAGTTCTGCATTCGTTTAGTCAAAAATGTTATTTATACGAGTTATATAAGGTTCTACAAAACGAATAATACTATAGTTTATGCTACTGATATCAGCTATAATGGTAAAATGGTATTTAGTCAAATGAGTAAATGAATTTCGCGCCAAAATCCAAAACCTGTTATCTTATATCTGATTGGTTCATCCATAAATTATACTTTCACCGAGTTATATTTTATGTGTAAACTAACAGCATGACTAGTTTTTCTTTAGTTTTTGTGAAATTAAACTTTATAATTAAGTATTTTTCATTTAGTTATCAGTGAAAATATAATAACACATTTGTAAATGTTTTTATTTTGTTTGTTTAATTTTAAAGAAAATAGAAAGAAGAATATCAGAATGTGAACAAGAACTTAAAGTAAGTCAGATAAAATTGTGATATTGACTAATTGGGGAAGATTTCTAGCTCAAGTGGATGATTTTGACAGAGTTTGTTCTATGAGCTGGATGGTTTATATGTATGAGATACTTGGTTTGTGTAGTTTTTTAAATCTGCATTAGAATTGAGAAAGCACTGGTCCATTGAATTCCATTCTCCATTAATATTGCTTTGTTATTTCTCTTGCTTTGACGAGCTTGTTCAAAGTCTTTGAGATTCGGTTGTCTAAATTTTTGACTGGATTTATGTTTATCGGTTTGTATATGTTTTTATCCTCAAGTAGTCCCTCGGCTTTCTTGATGTATTTTTCTTTTTCCATAATCACTGTGGTGGATCCTTTGTCAGCTGGAACAATGACAATATCTCTTCTAGTTCTGAGTTTCTATATTACATTTTGTTCTTCTGAAGTCAAATGGTTATTGCCCTTCATCCGTTAAGTTAGCGCTACTATAGTTTGTCTTATTTCTTGTTGCGTTTCTTCATTTATTTTGGAAGTTTTTTGTGATGACTGTAGTGTTGCGAAGAATTCCAGTTTTGAGGCGATCAAATAATCCAGCTCAGAGAACAAAACTTTACCAAAATTGTGATATACTTAAAGAAACATACGAAATTTGTCATCATTTTAGATGGTTAATGTTTATATGGTTAAATATACATAAATTTCAATTCTACAATTATTTTCATATTATAATAAATTAAAGTATAAGCATATTGTACATGATTTATGTATGTATAATGAATTTTGTATAGTAGATTTTATTTGAGGTATCTACCAGGAATTAGTAGATATTATTATAATTAAAGAAGAATTTCTTATTTCTTAGTTGATTTTCTGGTTTCCTGTTAGGTTTACTCATCAAACTATAGTGTTATTGACATTATGAATTTAGATGATAGTATAAACAATAAAAATGAACCTGTAATTATATTGCTTGAATTATGTTTATTTATTAGAATAATCGGAATGAATCATTTTATTTAACAAACCAGACTATAAATCTACTTGTAACTTATCTAGGTGTGGGGCAGTTATCCACCTAAGACAGTAGATTGATTGAAGTTAAACCTTAACGCCATTAGATGCTGGCTCATCGATTTAGAAGTTAATTGTTCACATGAGAGTTCAAGGGTTTTGGTTTCGAAACCCGCATGTGAGATCGTGGATGCGCACTGACGAGGAGTTCTGTACCAGGATCAAACGGTTGTTCAATGCTTCCAAGTTTTTAATGGTGGTCTAACATCGATCTGGTTAGCGTTTTTTAGAGAGTTAGTTCTCTACGGGATGGGGTCGCTAACCCCATGCTCAACTCTCCTCCCTTACCCGGGCTTACGATCGGCAGTAGCCCCAGAGAGGCTCCGGGCGGGTACGCGAAGACACGGATCGGCGAAGCAAGAGCAGCATATTTACAACTGAGGAACATCTGGAATTCAAAATAACTGTCAACCAACACCAAGGTCGGAATTTTCAATACAAATGTCAAGACAGTTCCACTGTATGGAGCGGAAAATTGCAGAACTACGAAAGCCGTCATCCAGAAAATACAAGTGCTTATTAACAGCTGTCTACGCAAAATACTTTGAATCCGTTGGCCAGACACTATCAGCAACAACCTACTGTGCGAGGTAACAAACTAGATTCCAGTGGAGAAAGAAATCATGAAGAAGCTCTGGAAGTGAATAGGACACACATTGAGGAAAGCACTCAACTGCGTCACAAGGCAAGTTCTCACATGGAATCCTCAAGGCTAAAGGAGAAGAGGAAGACTAAAGAACACATTACGTCTAGAAATGGAGACAAACATGAGAAGAATGAACAAAAATTGGATGGAACTGGAAAGGAAGACCCAGGACAGAGTGGTTTGGAGAATGCTGGTCGTCAGCCTATGTTCCATTGGGAGTAACCGGCATAAGTAATTAAGAAAATAAGTAACATTGATCTGTTCATGATCTCAATCAAAATCTAAGATTCTCCATAACCCCATTTTGATACTTTTCTATTTCTCAATCATATTGTTTTGTTTTTTTTGCATATTTTAGTTAATTGAGAAATTACGTGCTGAATCTGAAAAATTACACGCTGAACATCGAGCACTTATCCGAGTGGTATCACGTTTAAACAGAGAACAATAAACATTTTCTTAAATAATGACAATTTACCATTTTATTTATTTATCATTATTCAATTAACATGAATAATGAAATAAAATTCTACTATTTACTTCTTCAAATATGATAGTTCTATTTATACATAAAGATCCTTTTTTTTTAAAAAAAATCTCATTTGAGTATTATGAATAAATGAAATTGGAGTATTTATCAAATGAAACTTTCTATTAAAGTCTCATTTTATGTTATAAATAGAATTGGAATATACTTTATTAGTTGTAATATCATCATCACCACCCTTTTTCTTTTTTTAAAAAAATGACGTCATCAATACTATGACGTAACATCCGATCAGTGTTTATTGATTGTTTTAATTTAGTTGTTTAATTATTGTCATTTCTTATTAATGTAAAAAATATACTAATCAATATGTAATTGTTTATACTAACAATCAAGGTATAAACTGAATACATAAAAGATTGGATGGTTACAAATAATTTATAGTTTATATATTTGTTTACTTGGTTGGATAGAGAATGTTGGTAAGAGGCTTATGCTCCTTCACGAGGAGTAACAGGTGTAAGTATGTAAGTAATATTGTGGTGTGTACTTATATCCACACAAGTTGTATATAACGGTAGTCAGGCATAGAATGTATTTCAGTAAAAGATCAATAAGGAAAGAACAGGAACGGAACGCAATTGGTATGAAAATGAATGAAAACTGAAATCTGAGACAATGGACTGATATTTGTAAAAGGAACAGTCAAGTTTGAGACGATGGATTGATATTTTGCAAATTAACCATCTGATATATGGTTCTGAGATTTTAGTGAGATTTTGTGTAGTGGTGTGTTTACTATGTCCGATAATCTCCGCTCCTGTTCTTGTTCACTATAATATTTGTTTATAGTGCATGCAAATACAGTTGGATAGAATCCATGAATTATTACATTTTTCTGTTATTCTGATTTAGCTTTAGTGTTTTCTTGATTACAAACTTACAAACTATATTAATTTTACCAAGTGAGTATATAATCGTTTAGATTGTTGATTGATTGGAGGTAGTTGGTATGAAACTGTACAACTAATTTCATGTTATTTGGTACTCTCCAGTAGGGTATACCTGAAATCTTGTAGGAACTGGTGTTAACTGACGTATTTCATTCTATACCATCAAGCTTCACAGTCAGAAAGGTTATTATTAAATTACTGAATGACCTCCTGTAGGATTTTGATATTTATTACTGATTGATTATTGAGTGTTGATCATAGCCATGTTTGTTTAGTCATTTAGATGCTGATTGACAAAATTAGATCAAAATTAAATGGACTAGAAAAAATATGACATTACCCATCCTTCAGTGATCAATCAGATGTGAGTGTTTACTTTACTAGTTGTAGTAAAAATGTTCTTGAAACTGGAGTATCCACGTTCAAATTGAGGACGAAGTTCAATATACTTAATCACTAACAATTTTCAAACCAGAATGAGCGAACGAATAATAAAGATAAGAGAGAATGGGATTTTACTGTTCCTGAACTTGATGAATTGTACCAACGCTTTAGCTTCTTTGACTATCCCCACCAAAAGAGTGAATTTCATATTCTTCTCTTTTAATCGACTCTGTTCGTTTAGTCTGTACTGCTTAGAACAGAGTCTGTGAAGAAAAAGTATAACTGGTTATGCGTTAGCAAAAAAAGACACACATGAATACACTATCCACTCACTAAAACATCCCTTTTTGAAGAGCAGGCAGGGAGTACAACAGTACACCTACAAGTCCCACCTACTACCTTTAGCTTTTTATTGACTTGCTTAAGGTATTATTTACTCAACGCTAGTTTAGGAATGGACAAAAGAGAATGTTGTCGATACACTGAAATGTAAACTGGAGAACAGTAAGTGACTTCTTTATCTCACTAGTGTATTGAATTTTACATCGTAGTTTGGATCGGCCCAAGGTAATTTCAAGTTAGTGAAGGCTTTAATATATACTTATTTAAAGATATATATGTCTAAATACATCTTGTCTCTTACCGTTGTCATGTGTAATAAACACATTTTCACAAGCTTATTAGTCAACCGAAGTGTAGCAGGAACTGGAGGTTTAGAGAGGAGTAATCTTTTCAATTTAACGGATGTCATTTGTCATTTCATTTTTTTTAATAATCAAGGAAAAATTATAATATGGTCAATGATGTGTGAAAATGTAAGCTACTAATATATAGGCTTCTTCAAGTTAAAAGTTACTCTTAATCATAAAGTATGGATGAAGTTGTTCACTCCAACATCAAAATGTTTGATGATTCAAAGAAATGTTGAATTTTTTACAGTTTTGTTAACAGTTCTCATATTCATTACACTATATCTTCTCAATGAGCCGAAAAATTAAGTTTTCAGTTTTGTTGACGTTTCGTGACACAGCATAAGCCTCTTCTTCAGAGAATAAATAACCAAATTAAATTAATCCAAGTTTGAGTAGTACAAAATGTAGAAATATTTAATGAGCAAAATTATGTCTGTATAAATCTCAGTGATTAAACATTTCACTCGGCAGTCTGATTTAAGCTTTTTCATGAAAATATAATCAAGCATCAAAATTATCAAACAGGTTATCCAATAATGTTGACAATGTTGAAAATAAGATTTGGTTCAATGATTATAAGAAATCTGATGTGAGTTTGAAGGATGACGAAACACGCGTCCTTTAATTATGCGTGTTTGCTTATAATGCTTGTGACCTAAGGCAATATCAAGTCAATCCTCACAGGATGAACATATCATAATAAGAGACTGATCAATTGCAGTGCTAAACATCAATTGGAAGATTCATATAAACAACACATAGTGAATTTGGACAGTATAACGGAGAGAAAACGCCGAAAATCGAAAGTGTTTGACGAGACAGTATAGTTATTTCTTTTTCATTTTTGTCTTTTATCTTAGCTTTTATTGAGATCTCTTATAACCACATTTAAATTTCTTTAGTCTTCTTTGTCTAAAAAGCCTACCATTATTACTTGATATTACTGTCGGACATTGTCAGGCCATTGACAATGGAGCCGTGTTTGATTGAACTAAGGGTTCAGTTGATGGTTGTTGACCTTTGGCTGTATACCGAGTACGATTACTCGGATTCTTGCAGACAGACATTCAATCTCTTGTTGAGAATGCTTTTATTACTCCTCAGGTACCAAACACTCATTTATTAACCATTCCTTTTGCTTTTCAACACGTTGTTTTGTGCTAGAGAATCCATCGACTGTGTAGCATAAGCTGTGCTGGTTGAAGCATTTTGTACTTTTGGTATAACTTGTTTTCTTTACTAAAGAAGAACCGATTAAATTAATGAGTTTGCGTTTTGTTGTAGTTTAATACAAATCACTCGAAAACATTAAGTACACCATATAGAACGTGGTTTGACCTGATCGAATAAACTCTGATTCGTTGGTTCCGCGTTCAGAATAAATATTGAAATTTCGGTAGTTTTAATCAGTATTATTTGAACAGTAACAATTTGTTCACCTTATCATTATTATTATGTCTGTATGAATATGTGACAGCCTATGCATATACCAATCGCCGTGGCCTAAATAAAAGTTGCTTAAGTCTTACGATGAATCATTTGCTTTCGTATGAATATATATGCTTGAAACTAATCAACTTATTTGACTATCCACTCAAATCCTTATTTGTCTCTGTATTCGCACATTCACGTAAGCAATTCTGCTCGAATTTGCTTGTTGTGCTTGAGGCTTACTGATCTACGCCATTCAATAATAACATGTGGTCTGCGCTTCGTGTATGCATCCCAGATTACACACTGTTGGAGTTTACTTAATATCAGGTATCAAGACAGCTGATATACGAAGATAATTCACTATACACTTATTATTTCGTACATAACTTGAGATCTTTTGATTATAACACTGTAGTGTGACTTGCCAAAGTTTTCATATTGAGGATTACTGGACGCAAACTTCCTAAACGAGTATTACATAGATGGATTATTAGAGATGGGGGCTTTTCATGTGTACTGGCCTACTTTTATCAAGAGAACGCGATTGGTTTAATGAAAACAATTATTATCATAACCAATTGTACCAGGGATTGTTTTACCGTTCTTGTTTGTTTAACTGTACTAAAGACATTCTTTCTTCCGTTGATTATGACCTTGCGCAGATTCGGTTACTCTCAGTAACCCCACTTGTAACCTGGCACGATCTCGATATTCTTTCGATACCATGAAATCGCCAACGAATACATCTCGACTACAGTCATCAACTGCCTTCTGATATTTGGCTTACGGGGGATCTTATCGGTTAACTGGCACGTAGTCTTCCTGTAGTGATGATCATAGTCAACCGCCACTCGATGCCACACTACACATGCATGCCTTGTGAGCTGTTAGTTGGTGAAACAGAAACGACAATGCTTGGTTTGAAAAATTTTAAAGGAGTTCAAGTAGAGTCGTGTTTATGAGCTATGAAGAAAATTATGACACTTTGCTCAAAGGTTTGATAGCCACGTATGCCAAGTGCACTGGATAGTCGAGAATTCATCCTGTAGAATTCCAAGTATAGAGGGATCCAGTCTTCCTAAAAAGACGGATGATTCGCTATAGTCTTCGACATGCAGCATGTAAGACACTGAATGGTTAGTGCGATAAAAATGAGGTCGAACTGGTTCACTCTTCAGCTGTAGTATTTCTACTGTTACTTCTTTGAATTTTTATGGCGAAACCAATAGAACATGTAATGAATACACACTGGTCGTTTGTTGAAGCAAACATGAATCACGGTCGAAGTTGAAGATATACTCAATCGACTTCATGATTTTAAGGTATTCTCGTGAGTTGACTTAAAATTGCTTATCTTCAAATTACCTTAGATCAATCTTCATCTGTTCTGACAACGATCAGCACATTTTTTGGTTGATTGAAATACAACTACCTTCCATGTAGTGTACGTTGTTCATCAGACATATTTCAGAAAGTGTTGTTTAATGTAGTTATCGATCTTGAAGGTGTTGACATTATTCATAGTTCTGATAAAGTAGAAATTGACCAGAGATTAATTGCTTTATCGCACTACATACTTGGAAAAAGCGTTGACGTAAACTCAAGTGTATTCGTTTCTTGTGCCTCGTTTCAAATATTAGGCGACTAGCCTCACTAATTAATACACCATCTTCAAAACGTCTTGTGGAACTACGTTCACCAGTGGAAAACCTTCCGTTTATTATTTTTCTTGTTGTGCTGATTGTCTATTTCAAATTTTGACATGCAACTCAATCAAATATAATGAAAAACAAATGTCATATTTGCAATGCGAACTAACATTTCTTCAAAGTGATGCCTTTCTTAAATTTTATTCACATGGAATATCTTCTTTGCATACCGTTGACGCATCTTCTTTGGGAACTGATGCAGTTTTGAATTAACGGAATAAACCGGAAGACTTTTTGTTGTTTAACAAGATTTCTCACA